GTGACAGTCACGTGTTGCTCATGCGTCAGGCTCTTGCCTGCAGCAGCTGGAGTGGCTGGGGTGGAAGTGGTCCCTGCCCGCAGGTGGGAGCACAGGCAGCAGGGCAGTAACTCCTCGTGGTTCTCTTCTGCTCCTTTGTGGTTCTGGCATGTAGCAGATGCCTAGGCAGAGGTGTGTGTTGCTTGATTGTTTGGGTTCGGGTTGTTTCAGTTTCTTTCTCAAATCTGCAGGGTTCCATTTTTGCCTTCTTGAGGCATTTAGCATCCTGGAGTGCTGTGTTGGGGAGTTAGGCAGGTTATCTGTTCCTTGCATGATGAAATATCTCCTTTGGTTCTCCAAAGTAGAGAAATATTAACAGGGATTTTCTCTTGTCATCCCCAAGGTGCAGGCAGCTGCCTTTCTGTAGACTATGCTAGAGAGCTAAGGACAGAAACATGAGGTGCCCTCCCCATGTCAGGGATGCAGCGTCCCCTTGGACCTGTCTGGGTGGGCTAGTCAGTCACTGTGGGATCGTGGAGCAGCCACGGCGGGCCAGGGCTTTGGAAGGTGTCTGGGTGCTCCAAGGTGAGTCAGTGGGGAAGTCAGACCAGGAAGCTTAGAGCTTTGCCTGGTCAGATCTCAATAATGTCTGAGGAAACAGACAGCAGAGCCACACTGGGCAACCTGTTCCAGTGCGTGGTTTACCTCGTGAGGAAAATGTTCGGTATCGAGTTAGATACCTGCTTGTCTATCTCTGGCTCTCATCATCCTGCCCTGTTCTTCCATAAAGAGCTTTGCTCCATCTCTTAAGTACCAGGAGGCTGCTGCTAGTTCCTCCCCTTCATCTCTCAGCCTCCTTACCTCAACCTTCCTCCAGCCTCCTGACCATCAGGGAGGCCTCTCCAGGACTCGCTTCTGCTAGGCACATGCTTTCTGTATTCTAGATTTTAAACTTAATTCCCGTCAACTGCACCGATGGCCGTGATATCAAAAAGCTCGAAGCTGTTATTCTGGAGCACGTGAGAAACGAGGAGCTCTTTCCCGAGGTTGTCCGAGTGCTGCCCCCCGTCTACAGGCAAGTGGAAGCCGCGATTGTGGATGTGGCGCAGAGCGAGGAGATGGCAGATCACGGTGAGGAGGCCCCCACCTTCCCCAGGGGCCTGGCTGTCCCGCTGGTGACAGCGGGGTGTCACTATTGAAGAACTTGCGGTGTTATTGCTGCAGGTTGTCCAGGTACCCAACTCCGGTTGTGCTCTTTATGCCCTGAGCTGCAAGGGGCCAGCTGGGAAAGGCTGGTTGGGAGCTCCTGGGCTGTGGGGCTGAGCCACTTCACAGGCTGAGCCGCTGCGGTAGCGCCCAAAGGACCTGCAGGCCCCATGTTCTGTCCAACTAGTGTTATTGAGCAGATATCTAAGGACGAGTGTGAAGAAAAGACAGCTGTTGGTTCACCTGAAGGCTCTGCCTGCATCTGGCCGCCTGTGGTTTGTTGTGCCCTGAGCTGGCAGATGTCACACAGTTGTCCATACATTTCTTTAACTCTTGTTCTTTCTCCACTTGGCCCTGTATAAGTGTTTAAAATCCATAATGTCCTGTAGCAGGGAGCTCTACAGCTGACCCTGCATCTTGTTAGAAGAATGCTCCTGTTTAACAGGACACAGGTGTGGAAAGTAACCTTATTTAATGCCCTCTACCAGGCTCTGGCTGGCTCTTCTGTCCCTCCTGTGACTCTGTGGGCAGCCTTGTCTGTTCGCTTACCTACCTGAAGCTGGTGATATGACCACCAGCAAAACTTGGTCTTGCTTTCTCTGGCTGCCTTGACTGCTGCAGGATCACAGGGAGCAAAGCACGCTCTTTTTCTCCAGGGAGAAAAGCCCCAGTTTTTAATGCCAGGTAGAGCTGTCTGTCTCCATGTGTTCTCTGGATGACTGATGTCTGTCTGACACTTAACTTGCAGTTGAAAGTCTTCTAGCTAGAAGCAAGTCTATGCTCTGAAACAGTGAGCAACATGCTAGCCTCGTTTTTCAGAAGCTCTGCTGAGGTTCTCGGTAGCTGTGGGCTGACCTGCTGCAGTGGGACAGCTGAGGGTGGGTGAAGCATTGGAGAACAGCCACGGAGCATTGCTCCGGTCCTGCCTGCTACCCTGGAGATGGCATGGGCTACTTGGTGTTTGTGGTCATTGGCTCTGTAAAGTTTCTGCTTTGGTTGCTGGCTTAGGAGATGTGGTTTGACTCCCTGTGCCTCCCTCCAGGCATGATGGACTTCCAGTACCTCCTCAGCAAACTCTCCCATCGAGAGCACCTGGCCAACCTGGGCAGAGAACTCCTCCAGGATATCTTGCGGTACCTCCACCGCATTGGGCTTGTCATATGGTATGAGGAAATCGAGCACCTGGAAAACACTGTCTTTCTCCAGCCTACTTTCCTTATAACTATGTTTAAGGTGAGTGTGGGTCTTCTCTGCCTGACCAAAGTTGTAGAGTGCCTGCAGTTTCACTGTGCGCCTCTCATTGCAGCCCTTTCTCCTCCTTTCTTGCCACCCAGCTCCTTGTAAGGTACCGCCTAGTCCAGCAGCTTGAGAGCATCTCTGTGGACACACTCATAGGGGAGCACTCTACCATCAGGGACAGGTCCAACTGGGTGTGGACATTCAAGTCGAAGGCAATGCTGTGCCACAGGGCAGTGCGTGCTCTGGTCAAGTACCAGCTCTATCAGGAGGGAATGCAGGACATCTTTGAGGAAATAATGGGATGCAAGCCCCATGGAGGGAGAGGGAAACTGTTTAGTCTCCTGGAGCACTTTGAGATCTGCCTGGAAGTGAGGAAAGCTGAAGCTCTCAACCCAGAGGCCAGTGAGTTTGTGCCTGGGAAGCCATGGGAGACAACACAAGGCCGTGGAGAGTCCTGGTACCTGTTCCCAACCTACCTGAACCAGACTGAAGAGGTTTCTGAGGTATGGGGAGGAGACCACCCTGAGGACCTCCACATCCGGGCCTATTTCTCACCTGAAATACCAGAGGGGTTCTTTCAGAGGTAAGCAGTAGTTTCTAGCTTGTGCTGAGGTTGTGCTGTTCAGTGGCTGGTTTTGTTTGAGGATTTCTTGACACAGCTGGTCTGACTGTCAGCAAACCCTCAGCTGTTGAGCTATTGAGTGCTCAGGCACTAAGCTGGGTCTTGAGACCAGAGGTGGCTTTTCACCTCTGCCATGGTCTTGTGGACAAATCCTTTCGATATTCACTGTCTGCACGTGAACAAAGATAATGCTCTTTTGTTTCGCCTTTCACCTGAGGTATTTGGCACTGTGACTAGTTCCATTTCTGGACACTCTCCTGCCTCTTTGGGGTTCTTCTCTTGGGTTGTGTTCAGAATTCTTCTGATGGCCCAGCCTGGAAGCAGCTCTTGACTTAAGAAAGAGGCTTTTGATTGCTATCTTTTGGAGAGGATGGAAGTAGGTGTTGGGAATCATGTAGCCTGACTCCCGCTCCAGCCTTAGAAGGCTGCTGAACTCGCTGTAACAGCTAATTGTGGGCCTGATGTTTAGCCTTAGCTTATGCTGCGTGAGCATTCAGTAAGAGAGATTCTTCATTTGTTTCAGCTAAAATTGGTTTCATATTTTGAATTCCCCCAGTGCCACACAAAATGCTGGAGATAATGGGCGAGGGAGGAGGGCAGTTAAATCCATGAGCAATCTCCCTGCAGGTTCCTGGTCAAAGCTTGCTCCTTCTACTCCACACACTGGGTGGCCAGGGTGACCTGCCTGCTCGTATGCAATGGCAAACCCTTGTTGGTCAAAGAGAATAACCAGAGGGCCTACAGCTACCTAGAGCTCCGGTGCAGAAAGCCCACGGAAAGGAGGGGTAAGTGTCCTTGTCCTCACCTTGCACCCAGCTGCCTTCTCCGTACATGCGTCTCCCAACCACGTGCGTCTCCTTAGCCCACTTCACCTCAGCTCCTCTGGATAGAGCTTTGCTGCAGCAGGCTCTAGACTGACCAGGATCCTCTGAAGCATCAGCAGTTCAGCTGAACCTTCCCCTTTCTCCCTGTAACTTGTTCATGGTTCCGCTCTCTAGATAGCGCATGAAAGTGGAAAGACAAATATTTATTTCTTTTGAAGCAAATAGGTCAGTCTCTCTCTGATCCCTAGGATCCCAGTGAAGTGTGGTCTGATTCCGTATCTCCATCCCCAAGAAATGGGCAAAAGCACTCTACGAACAGAGGCTCTTCACCTTTGGGCTACTCTGAGCCTTAGTTAGCCGCGCGGGGAGTCGTGGCTGCCGCAGCGTCCTTGCATGGTCTCACGCAGGGGGGGTGCAAGCAGCTCGCGCGTCGCTCTGCTGCTGCCAGGCTGGCTTCCCGGCAGCTGGGCTGGACATGTGTCACCACCACTTTCTCCTCCTGTCTGACAGATTTCCGTTTTGCCTGGGACTTCCTCATGGCCATCGTGTTCATCAGCCAGAAGCTTTCGGAGGAGTGGCCAGGGCTGCACGTGTGCGTGAAGACGCCGTGCCGGACTGCTGGGTGTCCTGCAGAGCTTGTGTGGCCAGACGTGGATGGCAAGATCGTTGTGTGCGTACACTCTGGGCGAGCAGCGGTGGTTCCTGCAGCGCCGGGGGGTAGGATGGGCTGTGGGAGAAGAGCTGCAATACTTGTCAGGCCCCCATTGCCCTCCTGAATGTAGCAGTCCGTGTCCCTCATGGTGACCGTTCACTGCATGTGATGCCTGAGCAAGGGAAGAAGTTGAAACTTGGGTGCTTAGGCATAAAGCGCATAATGTCCTTCCTGACCCTGTGCTGGATCAGGAACAGGGCAATGCCTGCTCTCCCTGATTTCCCACAGGAAGCTGAGAGCGCTTCCCTGTCTTGGGCATAGGGGTGTGGGTGACTTGGTGGCCCTCTTGCCAGGTGGCTCTTCATGATCCATGGAAAGAGGGAGCCTTTCCAGTAATTTTGGCATGATCTTCTAAGACAAGTGTTGAGGGGGCTGCTCCTGCTCATTCTGTGGGCTCTTTCCGGCACAGGACAAAGGAAGAGGTTAAAACCTGCGGAACGTGTGGCCATCGGTTCCGAGCAGAGCTGCTCCTACCCAGAGGTGAGGGCAGCCTTGTGGGTTGGGGCTGTAGGAAAGCGAGCGGCGGTGGGTGAGGAGTCACCCCTGTGTCCTGTGTGCGGGCAGGGTGGATCCACAGAGGGGTTACTACAGACAAGGAGCAGGGGATTAAACGGGAAGGAAGGTGGGGAGGCACAGAGAGGAATAAAGGGACTCTGGGGTGGGAGGCTGGAGGCTGGTTCCCTACTGAAGCAATTACTCCAGGTTCTTCCAGAGCAGTTTTTCTCCCTTTCCGTGTGATCAAAGTGGCTGATTTTTGCTAGCCTGCTGCCAGGGAGCTTTCCTGGCTTTTTGAGGGGGGAAATAATTGCTGAGTTTAGCCGAGCACAGTGAGGTGGCTCCACAGCGGGGGTTCCTCCATGTCGCCTCGCGCAGTGCCCGAGCAGCCGGAGGCCCTTCCCGCGCAGCCGCCCGCTCGCTACTACGTCACCAGCTACGGGACTACGACCTTCGGGCCCAGCAGCGTCCACGTCACCCGCCAGGTAACGCGTCTGCCGCACGGCTCCTGCCCGCGCGCGAGGGCTCCCATCGCCAAGGCCCTGCCTGCGCGCAGAGCCCGCAGTGCTGCGCAGCGACCAGGGCGCCCTCTATCCTGCTCCAATGTTCCCAGTGTCTCTGAAGGGGTTGGAGGTCTCAGGTAGTGGGATCCTGACCTCCTGCTAAGGGGAGCCAGGTGCCTAGGCAAGAGTTGGATACGTGTTCATCCTCACAGAGGAAAAACTCAGGCTGCTTTGGAGAGGCTCCAGATGAGTGCTGGGAAGAGACACATAGCAGCAGACAGAATGTGTGTGTATATACGCATAAATGCATGAAACGAAAGGAAATAACTTCATAAGTGACTATGTACTATGGAAAAAAATGGATATTAAGAGTTGACAGCCTGCCACAGGCTGAGCCCTATTGTCTTCACCAAGGCCAGGATTTTGCCTTCTTGCCCTGGCCCAGTGAAGAGCCGTTGGCCTCCGGCTCAAGGAACACCAGGCACTGGTCCCTGTCCCTCCCTGTGCCGTGGGTCTCTCCTCTCAGTGCCTGCCCACCCTTGCAGAAAGGCCAGTCTCTTTGGGACCGGCCGCTGGCGCGACCAGGTTTGAGTGGGCGCCCCTCTGCCACGCGGTCCCTCGGCTTGGCCCATCCCATCCCGGCCGTGGTGGGTCGGGGTGAGCTGTGGCTCCTGCACAGGCAGGAGCTGCCCCCGGAGTCGTGGAGGGAGACGCTGGCAGTTCAGGGCGCTCTGAGCCAGATGGGTCTCGCTTCAACAGTCCCGCACGTGGGAGCAAGGGAGGCTCCAGCACGGAGGTCCAACACAAGCAGAGATGGTGACTTGTTTCCAGCCCTCCAAAAGTACCAAAGCTGGAGGCCAGCCTGGGGGGCAGCTGCCCGCCCTCAGTCCAGCTGCATATTGTACTGCTCGATGAGTTCGAAGAGGCTGAAGGAGTTGGAGAGCTGCAGGCTGAGGCTGCTGCTGTTGAGAGAGGAGGCGCCCTCCCGCAGCACCTGCTCGTACCAGAACTCGCAGAACTTGGGCACCAGCTGCGGGAGCGAAAGGCAGCGTGTCAGCAGCCGCCACACGCGCTGGCCCACGCGCGCAGCGAGTTGCCTGGGAGGGGTTTCCTCACCTTGACCAGGATGAGCTTGGAATCCTTGGGCTTGGCGTTGGACAGGCACTGCCCAAAGCAGAGGTAGATGGTGAAGTCAGGTGAGTGCCTCCGGCGGTAGTTGCGGAACTCCGTGAGCTCTGTAAGAGGGGTCTTGGTGAACAGGGCTGCGAGACGGGAACGTGGAGGGGGCGGAGGGGCTGGGAGGTTATGGATGGAGCAAATTCTCAAGTTCGATCCACAGGAGGGA